TATATATATATATATATATATATATATATATATATATATATATATATATATACATACATACATATATATATATATATATATATGTGTGTGTGTGTGTGTATATGTGTGTATGTATATATATATATGTGTATTTTTGTACATACATATATGTATGTATGTATTATTTTTCTTTTACGATTTAGCATCATTAGACGGAAGTCTAGGTTACGTTTTACCAGTACCGGAGAAAACATATCGGAGACTACTTATGTTACAAAATGTATTGGTCACACATATTTGTCATATTGCAGGCTTGAATCCAAAAGCATATCGGTAAGCATAATTTTAGAACTAAGAAAACTTAATATAAAAAATTAGAAAATACTTAATACCAAATTATCTTAAAAATCTTTATTAAAAAACGGAAATTATAGATTTATTATATAAAAGTTTTCCACATCATTTTGTAAAGTATAATCCTCATTCCTTTTAATATAGATTTAATGTGATTTAAAAATTAACTTTTCAGTTCTAATGGTTTTGCTTTGTTGTAGCACGTATAAAAGTTATGTACGAAATCAAGGTAATCCAGCAAGAGGTATTATTGATGGTGATTTGGTTTGGCGCTACCTTTTCCTACCTAACAACGAGAAAGCAGATGTAGCCAAGAAAATTGGAACGCGCGTCCAAGAAATTGTTGAAGATATTACGGAGATTGATCGACAAACAGCGCACTTTTAGACATAGTTATACTTAATTAGATATATATATATATAAGCTTTTATATTATTTTTATACTAATTACCTAAGGGAAGTTTCATCGCATATCAATATAGAATGCTAAATGTACACAACAGTACGTACGTTTTGAAGTTACTTCAGTTACTTCAGTTGTTTAATTCAAGGATCGTGTCGAAAAACCTCATTAAACCTAAATTTATGGCATTTTAATACAAAACAACAAATGTAATTTATATATTTATTTTATACAAAGTAATAGAGTGGTTTCGTGATAATATTTTCTGACACACAAAAATAAAGTGATTGTATATCATATATGTGTAACGAGATTAAGCGATTAAGATATTATCAGTATTAATATATGAGATATATTTTCTCAAATGCATCGACCATTTGCGTTATCCATCACTCCTTCCCGGAGAAGCATTGTCGAACGACGAATAACTAGACGAGAAATTCAAAGATGTATGTGGCATTTGAAGATGTAACTATATATACACGTATTTTGTACATATGTAAAATATAAAATTCCTCAAATCTTTTAACATACGTGTAATCAATAAGTCTTGTTGCAAAAAAACTTATAACTTAACGTAATAAGTGTAAGTTATCTTATAAGTTCGGAATTATATGACTGACATCAATATTACTTATTGATCAAACAATTCATAAAAGCTAATCATATAAAGAGAGAGTTTTCTGAATATATTGTTCCATTTCTTATATTTTATAAATTGAATTTTTTTTACCTACAAGTGAGTATCTCAATAAGAAATCCGGTATTGGTGTGTATATAATGATTACTGTTAAACACTTTTTTAAATCATATATTTAATCATATATTTAGTGTCTGTTGAGCCAACGTTGTTAGAAAGAAGACTGTGCGAAGCATTCGATGTGTTTGACAATGCAAGAAGTGGAGAAGTAGACGTTAGAGATTTGGGGACTATAATCAGGGCATTGGGTATTGTTTATCATAAAATGAAATCTGAATAATTTTGTGTATTTCTTACACAATACTTACAATTACTTAATATATCTTATATTGTTTTTTTTTTTTTTATTTAATAGGGTGTGTGATCACTGAAGCTGAGCTACAAGAAATACAGGTAGAAGTCGAAGACGTCGAAAATAATTGCGTGCCACTGAATAGATTTGTAGAATATATGCGCAAAGCAATTAATGAACGCAAGTATGATCATTGATTTTTTTTTCACTATTATATTTAAATTACTCAAAATAGCATTGAAGTATGAACATTATCATTTCTTAATATCATCTTTATATTTAAAATAAAAAATAAACACTCTGTAGAGAATTATTTTATCTTGCTCCTTCACTTATACTTGATTTGATTGACTACAGTGTTTAAGATTTTAATTATCAAGCTTATTCAGTTTTTAATAATTTTACTTACAGTACTTAAATTAATTATCGATATTTAGGTTTAAACCAGCAGAACCTGAAGATTTGTTCAAAGCGTTTCAATTATTAGATCCCGAAAATCGCGGGTATGTTATGAGAGATGACTTAGAAAAAGCAATTATGGAAATTGGAGAGCCATTTACAAAAGAAGAAGTAGCAGATATGATGGCTGTAGCTTGTAACACGGAAACTGGAAAAATTAATTACGAACATTACATCAACTTGCTAATTGTGCGTAACAATATATATTTGTTTCTAAGATTTATTTACCAAGAATACTTCCTATCTAGAAAAAAAAAGATTTACCAAATTGATAAGATCTATCATTTGAAATCTTTTACTCCTAAATAAAAAAAATATATATAGGCAAAAATTCCCGAAGATCTCAATGTATATAGTATTGTTGATAAAATGGATGCTGCAAGATTGGCTGCACCTAAAAAGCGCAGATTGCAAAGCATATTTTATAAGGAAGACGGAACCATTTGACCAAAAAACTTATTTTAGTAAATGTAATTTTTTTAAAAACAGATTAATATATATAATCGACATGCTCAATTTCTTTATTATGCAAGATTATGTAAAAATATAAAGTATATTTTATATATACTAATATACTGGAAAGATATTAATATATTTTTAAACTATACACCATTAAAAAATATTAAACACATGTATGTGTATATATATATGTATACACATGTATGTGTATATATATATATATATATATATATTATGTATATATATTATTATTATTATTATTATTATTATTATTATTATTATTATTATTAGAGTATATATATATATATCTTATTTGGAAGATATACAGACGTGTTTTATAATAACAAAATATTATAAATTCGAAAATATTGGAGGGTCGCCTTTAGTAGCCTGTGCCATTACTGCATTTAACAAATCTTCACTCTGAAGCATTACCTGGTTATACATCGCCTATCGAAATATATAAGCCCCACAAATATTATTAAAACAAATATGAGAAAATATTTTCAATTTTAGGTGGAATAAACAGGAAAGGCACACTCACGATATGTTCTAGTCCCTCTTGCACAGAGTGGTCTCTGGAATACAGCATACTTATTTTTGAGATTTGTGTTGCAACTGGACTTTTCTTCGAGATATCTTCGGCAATTTCTATCGATTTTCTCAATAAGCTGGATTAAATTGTCGAATTATTTACATGACTTCCATTTATACTATTAAAAATTTGTATTTTAACATATATTTTTTAATTTACCTCTCTTCATTGTCCAACATACGATTTACAAATCCATCTTTTAGTGCTTCAGCTGCTGGATATTTTCGTGCTGTATAAACAAGCTCTCTCACTAAGCTGTCAGATCCTACAATCTTTGGGAATCTCTGCAGCGTACCTACATCAGCTGCCATGCCTATATCAATCTCTTTTATTTGAAAATATGCATCAGAAGAACAATAACGTATATCAGTTGCAGACACCATGTCTACACCTGCACCAATACATGCACCATGCACAGCAGCTATCACAGGTTTTGGGCACTGTCAAATAGTTTTGTATCAATGAATTTATGATAATTGTATAAAATAAAAAATAATTATATACTTTTATACTGCTTGATTTTAACTTAATTTTTAACAATTAGTGAAAATTTTATCTTATTTTATAACTTTCATATATGACAAAATACCTTTTCTATTGCATTAAATGTATCTTGATAATCTCTGATTTGGTTTTTCATATATTTGCATTTACGTGCAATATCATCATATTCTGCTATATTCTGACTTAGTTGCATCATTCCCTGTAGGTCAATTCCTGAAACAATAGTTAAATAAAACTTTTTCTACATGTATGATTACATATATATAAATAATTGCAATTATTCAATAATTTACCTGCACAGAATGCTTTACCAGTAGCTGATAGAATAATTACTCTACATTCTGGATCCTTTCCTAATGTTTCAAAACATTCTTTGAATTCTCTATAATAAAATTATAAAAATATAAATGTTTAATCAATTAACAATCAATTATACAAGAAGAAAAATAATTACATACTGCCACATAGTTGGATTTATTGCATTTAGTTTTTCAGGTCTGTTCAATTTAACCATGTAAACAAATGGTTTTGGGATAGATATTGCTAATGTTTTGTAATTAACAGATGACATTATTGTAGAGTATTTCAGTGTAGAAGCTGTTTGTAACTCTATAAATATTCATAACATTATTAAATACCCATTTACTGCAAAATATGTTGCTTTATTCGATATAATCACTAATTAATATAATTAATATAATATAATTAATTAATATAATTATTTAAATTACTTAAATAAATTATATAACTATAATTACTTAAATTAATTTAATTAACATAAATATGATCACAATCATTGTGATCGTAAGTTAGGGTTACGTTTCATTATGTTTATTATGATAAGTTATGTGTTATATAATATTTATCTTGCCTACTCATTTTGACGCCATTGTTAAAAATTACAGAATTAGAGATAAACTTAATAAGCGTTTTAAACTGTTTATGCTAACTCATATAAAGAATATACATATATACGTTTGAAGAGAAATATTTTTAATAATTAAAAATATACACATTAATTCCAAAAATGTTAGATAACAATTTTATATATATCATAATATTTCTAATAATTAGAATAAAATACACTCATTACACTCACTGCACTCATACACATGTATACATAATGCTTACGTTTTATAAATTTGGATAATTGATTTTTCACTATATTGACTGCCATATTGTTGCACCATCGATGTATGGACAAATAGTTTGACACGGATGTTTTGGTATTAAATATTAAGTGAATATTTGTGTCTTAAAAAACTGCTAAACTTTACCTTAATATTTTTCTGGTGACAAAAGATTAATTTTAATAAGGTTATCAATTTCGTTAATGCTTTATGCATCGATCTATTCGTAGACCAAAGTCCGATCAAATCCGATTTATGAACGATGTCTTTGAAACAAAAATGAGCTTGACATTTATGTTAAGTGTTTTTATCAATCGATGATAAGATCGATGACAAGATAAATTCTAAAGCGTCTTCTACAATGGCAGTAGGAGTAGTAGTAAGAAATAAGCAGTAAGTAAATAGACCAATCACAATCGATTATTTTTGAAACGTGAGAATGGAATTGGTCAATTTGCTTACTGCTTATTTCTTACTACTACTCCTACTGCCATTGTAGAAGACGCTTAAAAGTATGAATAATACAAGCATAATCGACCATTGAATAAAGAATACCAGGAAGGAGTATAGAAGAGAAAATCCTTTGTTAGCAGTGCGAAGGATGTGACATCATAAAACTGAACCAATTGCGATTATCGATACCATAGGCCTGTTCTTTGTAGCTGCACTACTGAACTAGTGCAATAAGTTAGAGTGAGAAAACGTATATTTGTTTCACTTCAATATATTGCACCAGTTCAGCAGTGCAACTACAAAGAACAGGCCTCATGAATTGAAGTTGTGACGTCATGTTGTCGAGAGCAAGCAGAGACTAATCAAAAAGAACAGACCTATTGAGAGTGACAGATTGAAGAATATTTTACATTTTAATTGTTAAATAAGTATAAAATTGTTAGTTGTTGTTTATGTGGTTTTGCAAAAACAAAAGGACGTGTGGAAACATTTCATACGTAAGTATATAACATATTCTATTTAAAATTGAATAAAATTAAAAGCATAATTTATAGATTAACTTTGTTGTATCTTATGTATAATAAATGTTCAGCAGTTGTTTTAAGTTGTCTAAGCTAAAGTTGGATTGTTCTTTTAAATTTAGAGGAATAATCTAATTTCAGCACAGATAATTTCAAATACTTGTAAAATAAACATTTTGCTGAAATGTAGTATATTATTATGTAAAATGGGATATGTAAAATTTTATCACAATATATATGTATGTATATAAAATATTATATATGTATAATCAAAATTGATACAATGGAACTATATGTTCTCGGCTTTTTTTTTTAATTTTTTAGATATAAAATGAATGGTAACCTTTGAGGTAGCTCTTTAAAGCCCAATGCAGGATATTAATGCAATCGGTTTTTTACAATATTAACTTTATTCCATATGTTTCGGCCTCAATTTTTGGCCATTGTATTTACACTGAAGATAGCCAAAAATTGAGGCTGAAACGTATGGAATAAAGTTAATATTATAAAAAACCGATTATATTAATATCCTGCATTGGGCTTCAAAGAGCTACCTCAAGGATTACCATTCATTCTATATCTAAAAAATTATATATAATGCATTTTAATATAAATTAAAATATAAATGTTAATTATTAGTGATTTAATTATAATTAATGTTATTTAATATAGTTTTCCAAAACATCTGTTACAACAGCAAAAATGGATTGATTTTATGAATATGCCAAATTGGCAGCCACTACCAAACAGCAAATTATGCTCTAAGCACTTTAGTCCTGACTGCTTCGACAGATCCGGAAAAATCACTAAATTAATTATTATGGCTGTTCCTACTATTAAGTTTGAAAGATTCGAACAGGTATGTAAGCACATATATTGTAATTATAATAGATATTCATAATATGTTATATATTATAATATAAACTAATTCATTAATGAATATATATGTATTTTATAGATATAAAAACAGAAAAGAACACACAAAATAACTATGCTTTCCGAAAAACCTATTACTGAAACACCACAAGTAATGGTAAGTTTTATATACTATATAAAGCACATATATGTACAACATTCATAATCAGTTTTTTTTATTTTAATTTATTTCAAATTGGAAATTAGATTTTAAAGTAAATGAGTAACTTATATATATATTGTATATTATATATAAAATGTCTTATAAGAACATAAATTACTCAAAAACTAATAAGATATTTATTTCAGGAAGTAAATACTATTAATATGGATGAAGAGCCATCAACTTCTAATGAAATGTTACAATCAGTGTAATAGCAAGAAAATAATCTTCCTAATACTTCAAGTAAAGAGAAGAATGAGTCTTCTTATCCAAACCAGATCTTAAGAACCAGATGATATTCCAAGAAAAAATCATCTAAAAAGAAAAATTATGAGAATGGCTACAAATGAAAAGTTACTGAGAAAACAAATAACAAAATTACAAAAAGTGATATATCGACAGAAACGTCGAATTGAAAATTTAACATCTGTTGTCTCAAAATTGCAAAGAAATGGTATGATTACTTATAATGCTAAAGAAGTGTTGGTAAATTGTTTTGGTAGTAATAGAAATTTATTTTTAAATATATTTAAAAGAGCTTCATATAAGAATAAGAAATGCAAAAAAAAAGATGATATTCGAAAATTTGCAATAACTTCACTATTTTTCACCAAGAGCATATAATTACGTAAGAAACATTTTAAATGGTACATTGCCTCATTATAAAATTTTATCGAAATGGTATAAAACTATTAATGGTGAACTAGGCTTTACTTCAGAATCTTTTGAAATATTAAAAAAAAGATATAAGAATGTAGAAAAAAATATTTGTTGTTCTCTCGTATTTGATGAAATGAGTATAAGACAACACGTAGAATGGGTGAATGATAAAGTATATGGACTAGTTAGTGTTGGAAATAATGTTAGTGATGAAAATATTGGTTATGCCAAATAAGTTTTTGTTTTCATGATTGTTGCTATTAATGAATCATGGAAACTCCCATTAGGATACTTTTTTATAGATAGCTTAAATAGCAACAAAAAAACTGATTTAATTAATAACTGTTTACAATTATTGAAAAATTGCCGAATTACTATCACAAATATTACGTTGTCCAACAAATTTAACTGTGGCGAAAATTCTTGCTTATAAATTTGATTTTAAAACATGTTTAAGAAATAAAATGAAAAAAAACAGTATTTGTTTTACAAACCAAAACAAGAAATGAAAATCCTTTATTCATATTTCCAGATCCAGCACATATTATTAAATTAATTCGTAATATTTTTGGAGAAAAAAAAATTTTTTTGATGACCAAAATCAAGAAATTAATTTTAAATACCCTCAAAAGTTAAATGAACTGCAAGAAAAAGAAGGTTTACATTTGTGTAATAAAATTACTTGTGTAATTAAACGTTACATAGATTTTTTTAAACAAAAAATGAAGGTCAACCTAGCTATGCAATTATTAAGTAACTCTGTAGCAGAAGCTTTAATATTTTGTGCTAAACAATTAAAATTAGAGGATTTTAAAAATGCTGGTCCGATGATCAGATTTATTTTTATTATGAATAATGCATTTGATATATTAAATTCTAGAAAGATATCAAATTTTGGTTTTAAACAAGCTGTGTGAAAAAAATGTTGAAAAAGTTGAACAATTTTTTGAAAGTTTAACCGATTATATAACAAAGTTGAAAAATTGTGATGAAACTTTAATTTTAAATTGTAACTGAAAGACTGGATTTTTATGTTTGTTAATCTCTATAAAAAGTTTACTTAGTATTTATAAAATATCTATTGATAAATATAATCTATCATTCATACCAGCATATAAAATGTCACAAGACCATTTGGAGTTATTTTTTGGGTCTATAAGATCTTGTGGAGGATATAACAATAACCCAACTTGTCGACAGTTTATATCTGCGTATAAGAAAATATTAATCCGTGCAGAAATACGAGAACATGGAGTCGGGAATTGCATACCTTTGCAAAGTATTAATATTCTTAAATGTAGTTCAAATATATGCAACAAGACATGTATAGATCTTAACAAAAATAGCATTGTAAGTACAAATTTACAAAAAGAGTATTCAAAAAATTTAACATTTGGTCATGATTATGTATTAGACTTTAATTTGTCGCAATATTCTAAGGAAATAATAATTTATATCAGTGGTTTTGTTGCAAAAAAATTGTTTTCTATTGAATGTACAGACTGTTCATCAGCAGTTGTTGGAAGTAAAGATAATTTAGAAAATGCATTTTGGCATTTAAAGATCTGGGAGGGTTAATGTATTCCAGTGATGACCTTATTCAAATTTGTATGGATTGTGAAATAATATTGCGCAGTTTCTCATATAACGAATTATTAACGATGACATCATTAAAAGAAAAGTTGGAACAAGATATAAATAAATTTGTAAACATGCAAATTTTTTTACAGTTATCGATAAATCGTGATCTAAACACTTTAGAAGAGCATATCATTTATTTAATTACAAAAATTGTTACAGAGTTTTATAAATTGAGTATGCATCATATTTGTAAAAGTGCAATACACGCTAATAACCAAAGTTATGTTCGAACATTTTATAATAAATTTATTTTATTTAAAGGCCAATAAATAACTATTTATATAAAAGCTGTAATATTTTTTTTCATAGATTTTTTCCTGATCGAACAACGAGCAACTTCTACAATGGGACATTAATAAATATCATATTTTTATCAATTTTATCAAGAAAATTCATCAACTGACATATTACAGTTTCTTAACGGTATCTTAACTTTATCTTAACTTTAAAATAAGAAAAATAATGTAAACAATTGAAATAATAAAAGTAAAAACTTTATTATTTTAAACACATAATTTGTAACTATATATATTAAAATTGAATGTAATGTGACTTTTAACTAAGCGAACTTTCTTTAATCAAGTTTTACATTTGTTATATACTGTATACATTATTATACTTTGCATATAAATAAATATATTTTATATATATACAAATACTATATATTATACGTATTTATTTATTTCTTATAAGGAAAAAATATATATATAAATTTTTTTGTAATTTGTTGTTACAAGATATCTATGATATATATATATATATATGTACATATATATATCTTTTTTATATATACAATATATATTGTAACAAATTATAAAATTTTTCTATATATATTTTTTATATATTTTATTCTCTTCAAAGCAATATTTCTTTCTTATATACTTCCAACGTGTTTGAAATATACCGCCAAACTTGTGTTTCCGGAACGTCACAAATGACGTCATAAAATTGAACCAATGCATCTTATCGATTATCTGCGATATATCGCAATCTCCTTCCTGGTATTCTTTATTCAATGAACTCGACAAACCTAGAGAGAGAGAGAGAGATAAGTGACACAGGTCTCTACAGAAATCCGCGCCATGCGTCTCTCGTGCAACATGGCGACCGGTAAGGGGTTAGCAGTGATTTTTCGACCAAAAACCATCAATTTAATTAGTAATAATAAGTTTAACAAATTATCCTGCAATGCACTACAATATTGTAACTCGTGTCAACGGCATGTAGTAACTGTCAGCAACTGGAACTACGGAAGAGCAGAAAAAAGTAAGTATACATTTCGTCCACGACGACCTCGCTAGATTACATCATTATATGTTTTCCGGCAGAATTTTCTTCTCCACGCATTTGTCAATTGTCGTCTATTGTTTGACTCTTCGCGTTGACATTTCAATTCTTGATAACGTGTGCTTTAAACTGTCGTATGTCGTTTCATGTGTAGCGTTCAGCAATTTTTCCAAATACGACATAACCTGTTATACCACATTATTTTCATACGTGTGTCATGTACACACCGCAATAGTTTGTTCTAGAATATCGGACAGCTAATGTGAAATACATACATATATATACGTACTTTTAAATGTTTAACTATTTATAACCATAAAATCGTACATCCATAGTTATATCGTTAAATATACAAATTATTTTAATACATTTATATAAGAATTACTTTTTCTTCTATATACATTACAATATATAATTATATGTACATATCTTTATATATACATACATTTAAAGAATTATCACGATATATTTTCGTGAGTTACAATATATATATATATATGTGTGTGTGTGTGTGTGTGTGTGTGTGTGTGTTTGTGTGTGTGTGTATATATATATATATATATATATGTATATGTTTTAGATAACATAGGGAGGATAGTCCAACCACACAGATCCATACATTTAACTAATAAATTGTACGCAAAACGTAACTATTACGAGATCTTAGGTGTCTCAAAAAATGCATCTGCAAAAGATATAAAGAAAGCATATTATCAGCTTGCTAAGAAATATCATCCTGACACAAATAAAGGAGATCCAGATGCTAGTAAGAAGTTTCAGGAGGTTTCTGAGGCTTATGAAGTATTAAGTGATGATATCAAAAGAAAGGAATTTGATACATGGGGTGCTACCTCTGAGCAAATGGGAATGGGTCAAGGTCAGAATGCTAGAAACTATAATGCACATTGGCAATATAGATCAACCATCAATGCAGAGGAGTTGTTCAGAAAAATATTTGGTGATGCTGGATTCCAAAGTAATGCTTTTACTGATTTTGACGACTTTGCAGAGTCGAAATATGGTTTTGGAGCAGCACAAGAAGTATGAAAAATAAGATAATTTGCATCCTACTTGCTTGATAATGTAATATGAAATAATGCCAAATTTTCTTGTTACAGATTATAATGAATTTAACTTTTTCCCAAGCTGCAAGAGGTGTGAATAAAGATATTGATATAAATGTAGTAGACATTTGCCCAAAGTGCAATGGTTCACGCTGTGAACTTGGTACCAAGCCAGGAAAGTGCTTTTATTGTAATGGCACAGGAGTGGAAACAATAAGCACAGGTCCTTTTGTAATGAGTTCGACTTGTCGATACTGTCAAGGCACAAGAGTGCATATCAAGTTTCCTTGCGATAATTGCGACGGAAAAGGACAATCGGTATGAATATTTCTTGTTCATTTATGATATCCATAAAAGAAGTGCTAATAATTGCTAGTATTTTGCATAATTATATTACCTACCATACTGTGAACTTTTATCGCACAGGTGCAACGTAAGAGAGTGACGGTACCAGTTCCTGCTGGCATAGAGGACGGCCAAACAATTCGTTTGGCAGTAGGAAGGAAGGAAGTGTTTGTGACATTCCGCGTGGAGAAGTCTAGGTACTTCCGTCGAGACGGATCTGACGTACATACCGACGCAGAAATCTCGCTTGCGCAAGCAGTTCTTGGTGGTACGATAAGAGTGGAGGGTGTATACGAGGATCAGACTATACAAATAGTACCGGGTACATCGTCGCACACGCGCATCCGTCTAAGTAGCAAAGGCTTGAAGAAAGTCAACGGAGTGGGTTACGGAGATCATTATGTGAACATTAAGATAACCGTGCCTAAGAAACTAACCAACGAGCAGCAGGCACTATTGCAAGCATACGCTGAACTCGAAATCGGTACCCCTGGCAATATATTTGGTGTAACAAATAAGACCGATGGTAAGGGCAAACGATAAAATGTAATCCATTTATAGTACGATAGATTTGATTTGTCCATATTGATCCAATGTTTATGACATTGTTCACTATAGTTCAAATATTCATTGATATTGTGGTGAGACAATGTCACTTTTATCGCCATATTACATCTCTATTAGATATTTATACGTGTGTCGCTTGAGTTTTCCCCCTGTGCACCAGCTAAACTAATTGAATAAAGTATATTAAGACTATAAATGCGTTTCATTGACTTAAAGGTAGAAATTTCTGTAATAAAGATTTGAGTAAAAAGGTCGTATGTACAGTGATTAACTCAATGTAACGTATACTTGCTTTTCTTAAATGGAGTCTTTTGTCAGCTTCAATGTCTTTTTTAGGCAGGGCAGGTCCAAAGGTGCAAACTCAAGCGACACAAGAGGCTCAAAATGAACAGATAAATCAAGGGAATGGCCTGCTTAGTAAAATTAAAAAGGCCATATTCGGATAAATGAATAGTAAGTAAATTACTAGAAAAGACAATTTATATGACATATTTATCATAAATATTACTATTTGATATTTACTAATATATTGAGATATTTTTACCAATAAAATTGTAAATAATTCTATTAGTACAATATATTCTAATTGTACAATGTCCAATCAAAGTACACTTAAGAGACAAAGTCTAACAATTTTTTTGTTAGCAGAAAATATCAAAGATCCGTCGCAATTTTATGAATCAATCACTAAATCATTAAATTTCCGTTAATCAATTAATCTTCCGCAATAAATTTCGGACATTCCGTATGATATATATCCTAATAAATAACATTATAAATGTGTCGTATACGTATAAATTATGCAAATTTCATTGATATCTAATTATAGGTACAAAGCAATGCTATACAGGTCCGTTGCACTTGGTAGAATCTATACGAATAGCACTGGGGAATACATCTGATCAGAAAGAACAGTCTTCATCTTCTGAGCCCGAGCATCCAGGAGACAAACCTATAAACAATAGGTCTGTGCATGCCACTAAAGATACGTCAAGTACCAATAGAAAAAATGAAACTGATGTTAAAACAAAACGACAGAAAATGCCGTAAGAACGCTATTACGATTACCTAATAGTCTATAGTAATTTAGAAGATGTTATTCTTGCGTCGTTACAATGTTGCCGACAAATACGAGACTACATGCGCTAATATCAGTTCTACAAATGGGCATCATAAGGGATCATGTACACTTTCGATCAAAATAAAACAAGCACGAAAACTGAATGATTTGCTGAACTCGTGGATATCTTTATGAAGTAATAAATGAAGCCAACCTAGTGCCGCTTAAATAATCTAGCTGTACAGTCGTATATAATAAATTATACGTGTCTTCGTTTGTTACATTTCTTACTTAAACGAGAGCATAGTCAAATAAAGTGTACATGAAGATACAGATGGCAGAGTTATCTATATTATTAATAATGGTGCGCATATTTGTAAATTAATAAATACTATATAACGTGATTATATTCTTAAGAAGTGAATGTAAGCCAATGAAATCCTAAAGTACAGGTATAAATGTATGATATAACTGGTAAAGAATAGTATCTATAAGATAACCATTTACAAAAGCATATGTTTTGATTTTGGTTTGCATCTGCAGTGCAGATGCACATAGTTAATTATATACTTATGTTTGTGCTTTAGTCTCTCATGGGCCCAATTTCACTTTTTGATTATATATTTCTAAGAACTTATATTATCTTTCTATGTTCTCTCACACATACACGCACATACACGAACACATCCGGACGCGCGCACATATACACACACGGAAATACGAACTAACATATTTTTTTGGTGCAAGACAGCAAATATTTAAGAAATCAGTTGTGAGATAATATATGTTTCTCTATGTTACAAAAACGCGTTGCAGCTTATGAAATGAGAAGTATATTGCCTAAAATATACATGTATATATACAATCTCTCTACATTTCAGATCTATCTCAACATTTTTAATATATATACGTGATTATGTATATATATTACGTAATACGTTAACGCAGTAATTCAGAATAAATATGTAAGTGTCGGTTTAATTTGCTTATTTTACTTGAAATTACAGTTAAAATATAAAAGATAATTTCTATTGGCAAATAATGGTAATATTTTACGGATGATATTAACTCTTTATAGCCTGAATTTTTTAATGCTATTTATATAATGCTATTTATATATGCTTCTAAAAAATATTGTATTCGTGTAATGTGTGATATTTCTTAATGATAATTCCTATTATACATGGTAGTTTGTAGTTATTAACATAGATCACATTGAGAATCAAAGTATCAAGAAAATGTAAGTCAAAGAGAATATAATCCCTTAGTAGAGTTTTAAAATCCTGATAATCCGTAAAAAGTTGACAAAAGTATCGATGAATCATCTATAAAACGTTAAAAATAATTATTGCGTTCTGTTATTCACTGCCAGTGCTAAAATGCTATAATTCATGTTACGTATACTATAGATTTTCAATGCTGTCAGTAATTTTGAAACACAGCCAGCATTTATCCGCATCAGTGCCGGATAACTTCAAGCCTCGATCAGTAAGCCATATTTCAATCCGATGTTGGTGAGGCTCTGCGTTGCTGATACTTGTAATACGGCTACCATGATTGCTGCAATAGTAACAGCACCTTCCAAATACAGGCCATATAGTATTCGCACGTGACCGACGATGGTCGAAAGACCGCCCGCTGCAGTAAAATCCAAAGGAAATAGCACGCTCGCTGCGATCGGCCTCGATCGTGCTATGCCGAAGCACAGTACCCCCAAAATGTAGTAAGCGGCTATGATAGAAATTGAGATTTTGTTTTCGTCTTGATTGCTACTTTTATTCCAATTTTCATTGTCTAAGACTCGTGGTTACTTGCCCCGGAACTCTTGATTGATGACGTCAGAAGCAAGGAAATGTGTGCCCAACAATGTCTACAAAGTACGTAGAAATAAAAAGATATATGTCCAAGAAGTAACATTGCAATCGATTAAACGTATTTCTAAAATATTCTGAACTCTTTTGCTCTAATAATCAATAAATAATCGTAAAATTAACATGACATGTAATTTTGCCTTTTAATTTACATTTCGTCATTATTTTGTTATTACTTTTACGATAATTTAGTAATTGTTAGAGCAAAAGCAAAGTGTTCGGAATACTTTAGAGGTGTACTTAATCGACTATAAGTGTCAGTTTTTAGATATATCTTTTTATTTTGGCATACTTTGTAGGAATTTTGAAGGCATGCATTTTATTCGAAATAATAAACTTCGACATTATAAATCAAGATGGCCACGGCGAGTATCCAGAAGCTATAAGCAACGGATACCTCAGTAAGCATAATCAGTTTTTTTTTAAATTTCATATGCATTTTGCGAACTAACTACAGAAGCCTAACTACTACAGCAGAAAATGCGTTTGTAGAAAGAAAGAAGATGGTTAACATTTTTTATGGACGCATGAATAGTTTACCTGAAAAAACGAATGGCACAATTTTGACCCATTTTGGCATCGGCATAGAATAGTCCGGTTCCGTGTTGTCGAGTTGCAGATTTCGTTTAGCGTTCGCATATCTTTGCAAACGGAGGGCTGTCATTAAACCGAAATTCAGGATAAGAAGAAAATGTGCGGGAATGCCGATAGCAGCGAAAATTACACCAACCGTGCGGCCGGCGGTGGTACGTGGAACTGGTGCTCCAAAACCTATGAGGTTCAAAAATATACAGGATGATTCTGAGAAGATGTTATAACATTTTTATGGTGAAAGGACTCGAAAAAGGGATCATTGAGGTAGGAAAGTAATATTCTGCAATACTTCTTTATAAGAACCTAATAGCTTTTTTATTATTTAGTATCATGTCTAACAAATAAGCTCCTGCACTTTATTTTGTAATCAGTTTTATTTTATTTCTTTTCCTTTATTCTGAAAACATGTTTGTGTTATATGATTTATCTATTTATCAGGCGTAATGTTGAATAATAAAAAAGCTTCTAGGTCCTTAAAAAAGCATCACAGAACATTACTTTCTTATGTTAAATTGATCCCCTTACCGAGCTTTCTTGTCACAAAAATTTTATAACATTTTCTCAGAATCGCTCTGTATAGAGTAGTAAATGAGAATATATGACGTAGATATGATACTATTTCTACAGGTTATCGTAAAGTTACCGGGAATGAAGGCGGCGCGCGGATGTGATTATTGAAGAGTTAAAATGGAAAATATTCTTTGTTATAAAATCGCAATTCAGAACAGAAAGATCAATCGGAGATTCGGTATTACAATTCATCAAAGACGATCTAAAGTGGATTAAAACATTTAGAATTTTATGGTAGTTAACATGAAACTTCGCGCATTTACATTTGCGTCCTAGTATTGTTTGGCCTTTCTAATCTTCATTGGTATTAAAAAAAATCAGTTTCGATCTAATTAACGTACCTAAAGTAGTAATTAATGAAATTGCAAACAGCACGCAACCGGGAAATGTCCATAACTGTCCGCTATTACCGCTTTCGCCATAGCCGGAGGCGACAGCGACCAAAAGAAGTTTCTCATGTTTAGCCACGTACTGGCGAACTTTGTCGCTCCATAACGGTTCTACATCTTGATCCTGTTCCGTGCGCAATTGTCGCAGCTCTGTAGCTAAACCAACTGCCAGGTCTTTCTGCATGTTCTTCAGTAGTATGACTTGTTCGCGTTCGCGAGGTCCTTCTGCGGCACAAAACGCCGCTGCGCCTGCCATAGTCCACGTTACAAGCAACCACAGTAGGCCTACACAATGAATTGTCAGTATAGTTGAACAACTTTTAAATTAATACAAGAAAACGTTAAATGTAATATAATAAATATAATGAGACCGTACCAAATTGCGAGAATGCTAATCGCCCCATAAATCTCAAATACTTCAGAAATCTCGAGGTCCTTGAATTCGATGCATTCCCGTTATCTTCTTCAATGTCTCTGAGAGACGGTAAAACTCTTAATCGCAATGGTAAACCTATTATGGTTTGAACGGCTACGGACTTTGCCCACTTGGTTCGTATTATGCCGTTTCTCAAACGAGGCGCAAGTTCTTCGGATATTGTTGTTGGTGCACCTACAACATTTAGTTTTAAATATGTTTGTTTACAATGTGCCTAAACAGCACACGAAATTACATACAAAATTAATTAAACTAAATTTATTTACATATACAAAATTTATTTACAATACGTAACGTGTGTTTCTGGAAATAATTTTTAATTTATCCCTGGCAAAAATATAAATTGGAGAGTAAATAAAATGTAAACGAAGAGTGACGGAAGTGCAAGTAAAGCGCTTACAAAGCGTAAGTTGAGACATCGGAACGTAAAGCAAGTATACCCGCTTGCTTTACGTTCCGATGTCTCAACTTACGCTTTGTAAGCGCTTTACTTACACTTCCGTCACTCTTCGTTTACATTTTATTTACTCTTCAGTTTCTATTTTCGCCAGGGATCCTAAGATGGTCTTGATAAAATGTTTGCCTAAATTGCGAAATAGTATATATAAAATAATATATTTTGGACCAATTTCAGATACATTGTGACCAAAAGTTATAAACGTTTTACGGACATTCTAGAAATTTTTATATAGGATTTTGAAATATTTCATTCCATATCTAGTCTAAGATATTCATTTTTTTGCTATTCTTTAGGACATCTCGAAGAAGTGTGAGAAAAACAATAAAATGTCTTTGAGATATCTTATGTATCCAAGAAAAACATCCTTAGGTATCCAAAAAACATTCGTGTGCTGTTTAGGATGTTTACAATTTAAAAGGTTAAATTATGTAAATATATGTACTATAAATAGAAATATATAAAGAGAAAAAACTTTATATACAAATATAGACTAAAAATGTTTAGTTTAACAACTATAACAAGAAAAGACGAAAGAATAATTTGTTTAATCTTTAATTTCACAAAAAATTCCTCTTGTCGATTCAAAGCTTCGACTTTGTTAGAATATTGACTAATCTGAATCGAAGAGGATTCATCCTATATTCCTCAAATAAAGTTTTGCAATAATATCTCGTAAGGTCTTATATTCATATAGCTGGTAAATATATAAAATCGCGTCGAGATTTTTAGCGGATTGGATATTGAAGTTTCGCACTTTCTGGTATGTTAAGTAAATTAAACGATCAGACTAAAGAGAATGTCAAAGAGTCTTCAAGTTCTCGATGAAAGTTGCATTAGCAAAACACGCAGTGATCGATTGCTTGAAACTTGGTATATAACACATGCACACTGTGAATGTTATACCGTTCTCTTTGTGTGTAACTGCTATATTATGAGCTATACGCGCGCGCGTTTTCTATGCTTTTTTTTAAATATTATTATAGCTGAGTCATGTTTGGGTAAATAATACAATTGTTAAACGCTCACAAATGTTTCCCTAACAAGTTATTTATCAAAATTGTAATCTCTCTTTTACAAACTCGTCTTCGCCTTGTTTTAAGATCAGCTATCATTTAAATCATACATATATAACTATATATCACTCTCGCAAAAGCTCTCCAAAAAACTGTCCCTATTATACCTCAATAACTTTCAAATGGATTAAAATAATTCGCAGCGATTCGAGTTACACTTACGGATACCGCAAACGACGTCGTCGTCGTCGTCTCCCTCGTCGTGTTTAGCACGACGTTCCGACATTCTCACACAAAACTCGGTGACGCGACGGCGAGCAGCATCTTTGACGAGGGCGACGCGCGGATGAATCGAGTTCCTGCGGACCCGATGCCGCTTTCTGGTGCAGGGGGACCCTTTGTACGTCGGTTCCCGCTCGAGCGCGGCATCTCGTACACGAACGGGCGACACGACGCTTACCGGAGCGCGTGGTAGCGTCGCGACGTCCGGCACGTCACTGAGGGGTGTCGTGACGCCCCTACGCGCCGGTGGCGTCGGAAACAGGGGTACGTCCATGAGCTAAGGTCAAGATAAGGCCGCAAGCTACGATTACCGGTGACTTTATGATCGCTTCCGGCGATCTTCTTCTGGTCGATCATATAATCGTACATATTTCACACACCGTCGTCACCTCCCAGGAGAATGTTGCTATACACCCTCGACGTTATCATACGCTTTATACTGCGACATTATTCAGGCTTGAGATTTGGCTCGAGTCAGTTGTCGGCCAAAGATGTCTGCGAGCACTTGTTGAATCGACTCGTTCCACGCATGGGAAGCGTTCTCCAAGTGGTTCCTTTCTCAGGGTTTTGTTGGAAATTCGTGTGCTCCACTACATTTCGTCCACCAATGTAGGTTTAGAAACCCGAATTTTTGCCCCGATGTGCTTAAGCACATCTATTGTGGTGTGTAGTCTCGTTGCGACTTCATTCTCTTTCATCTGCTTTGAGGATAATAATATCGATTTATTTACGACAATCAGTCAACTGTGCGACGCACATTAATCATTATAGAATTATTCCCTTCGCAAACAGATCCGAATATAGTCGTAGGGAACCTAATTAATATCCTTCGTCGAAACATTTATTGCTCCTTAATGATCTTAATATTATACAGCATCTTAATATTGAGTCAAACTGACCACGTGGATAATTTGGTTCTTTATTATTTGCCATTTACTATCTCGATTTCGAGTCTGACGTTTTGATTTTGCTTAGGATATATTTCTGTCGATTCCCTTTGTCTACTTTTTGCTGATTTATCATATGTACAAAGTTGGATCGATCAGCCTCGCATGGAAATACACCTTACGTATCATTAATAGTAATAATGCTATCTCTCGATGCTATTGTATACATACTATACGAACTTATAGTGACAACATCTAACACTATAATCGACATATATCGTGGCGACAGTATATATCAAAGCTCTAATTTTCAAATATAAACGTACTCTAAGAGTGCATTTAGTCCGAAGTAGTGCGAAGTATGCGTGTGTGAATTTTTCGTTAAAGTTAAGAGAAAATATTGCACGTTGTATTTCATCCTAAGAAGATTCCGTGTTGTATATTCATAGCTAATATAATCAAGAGATGTTCTTTTTTCAGACGTACTTATTTCGGCCCATGATTAATTTTCAAGTATCGCCGATTGACTACCTTCAAACTGCTGTGAGAATATAAAGAGGCAAAACCGCGCGGCGACTCGACGCCTTGGAGAATTCAGAAACTACTGCTCGTGGAATGAAATTTTCGTGCATTCGGCGCGTTGCACCGCAAACAGGCCGAAAGGAGTGGTGGTGCGATCTCCTCCAGTGAATAGCTAAAATTAGAATACAGCCTTGGAATCAATGACGACGACCCTAAGCGTCGAGCGTAACGTACCATCGTCTATAACTAATTGCACACGTGCCCTATCTTCGATTAGATAAACTTTCCCGATGAATCCTGCGTGAGTGGAACCCGCGCCCACCTGGGTATAACAAGCGCACGTTCGTGCAGGCATAATGTAATCATATATAGTATAGTAGCACATTGGTATACGATATGTCACGCGATATCCCGGCTTACTCTTGGTTCCTGTAATACATATCAAGAAACATTAAATGATATTTCGAAATCTTAATTTTCATACAAGTTATATGTACAAGTTATATGTTATATTACATATTTGTGCTGCAAACTCTACTGATCCAAGTACAATTTTACCATTTGATAAATTGTGTTAAGAGAAATATCCCGAGTGTGACGTATTATATTTCTCCGATTGTTGCGAGGTACACTTGCGACTTATCGATTATTTAACCTTTTATTTCTTTTATTTTATTTTCTATACATCATATTTGCAATACAGCATCTTGTTATTCTACGTGGCTTATAAGATGCGATGGCCTCAATATTATATATGTGTGTGTGTGTGTGTGTGTGTAGATAATAAAGAATCTTCCAAAAAATATATAAAAAAATTTGAAACTACAATATATGAGATGTTAGGGATGAGATATTAAAGATGCAAGGTAAAATACATCATTAAAATTTTGCTAAAAAATGGCAAATTGCAAAACTTGGGAAATATCCCGCCGACAAATAACTCTACTTAAAAAATCCGATAAAAATTAGTAGAATTGTATGCAAATTTCATTGATATACTATATGACTTTATCTGAAGTATTTTATTGTTTCTACTGGGAATTTTACAATTTCTCACATTTTGTAACTCGACATTTTCAGTTCACTTAAAAGAGTTATCAATTTCTTTAGTTTTATATCGTGACATGTTTTTAAAGATTAAAATATATACTAATCTTATATATTTATTTAAATACATACGGCTTTTTATGTAATTTTATTATTTGTTATCAGATCGTATTATTTATACGATTTAATCGTATAAATTTTTCTAATATAATTCTATGAAATCTTTGAAGGAGGAAACTTTTCACAATCTAGACTGAAATTTACAGCGCGATTAGCGCGGCGCTATCTGTTATGCGTCTGCAATCACAGCCGCGAATCTGTAGACCGTCGGCTGCATGTACTGCGTCTTCGCGGTTCGCCAATGCGTTTGCGCGATATCGACCCGCATTTCGCGGTCTCGCCCTCACAAGCTATGCCGTGCCAGTTCCACGGGGGATGTTCCTCGGAGGACCCGCCGCGCCTATAATATGGAACATCGTTCTACCGTTCTCGATCGACGACGAGATCGGGGAACTCTTGAGGTGCGTTTAGACGGGCGCAACCTTTCCGCTATCGATTTCAGCTTTATTTGCGTGCGTGAACGTATCGCTTTCTAGGATCGCTCCACATTGCTAAAAATATGACAGCGAGTGAACGTCAAGCCATATCGGCGAGCAGTATAAAAGTAATTCGTATTTCGCTCTATACTGATATTTTTTATTTCGGAAAAATCGACTGCAGATTCATACCCGAGAAGTTCTGATTCGAATCCGTCAGTTCCTAGAAAGCAGAAATATCTGAAGTACGTCTCAGAGACATCTGAAAGATATCTAAAGCAAGTACAATGTCTTTTGAATGTTTCTAATGTGTCTTTTGGACATTTATGCTGTCTGGGTTTGTAGAATTTCATTTTATTTTTATTAAAAAAATTCAATATATTAAAAGGAAGGACCTAACTTCTCTTGCTCCATTCTATTCACACTTACGTAACAATATCGATTGCAAAGAGTCAATTTCACTCAATAATCGTCTGTCTAAATGTATCTTTAGACGGGAAGACGATGCGCAGCCTCGCTCGCAGGCTACTAGTATGGTCTGCGTTGGTGCTGTCCCTCCTGGTGGTCGGTCGTCTGCTATTCGGCTACGATTTCCGGCAATCGTCGGGGCTTGTTCTTCGCGACGAAGGTATCTCGATACCGGATAGCCACGCGAATCCGCAGCAGGATGCACAGCCAGGGCCACCCGTTTACTCGGCGGGCATGTACATGGCGGGTCGACGACCCCATAACACGAGTGTCTGCAGGTGGTACTACGGCCTGCCGGAGGTCCTCTCCTATCCACCGTCCAGGCTCACTTGGAGTCCCGAGATCGGCGAGAAGAGTCCCTACAGGTAGAACTATCCACGAACAATCGGATTAGATCTACGCCGTATAATTAGTGCGTCGATTCCCGATACCGGCCAAGTATCGGCGACGGAGAATCGGTAAACGTAACGGAGGATGCCGTCGGAGTATCGTGAGCGTCCCTACCTGCAGGATCCTGCCGTTCGTGTTGCGCGGCGCCGAGACGACGGACAGGTTGCCCCAGGTCACGCTGTCCACGCACGCCACCGCCGATCAGGTTTACGGGATCGTGGAGTTAGCCAGACGGTGGGAGGGACCGCTCAGCCTGTCGGTGTTCGTGCCGGGCCTCGACGCCGGCCTCGCTGTCGCTCAACTCGATCGGGCCTGTCGGTGCGAGCCTGCCATGTACAAGGTCTCTTCAACTTCTTCGTCATGATCGCGCGAGCCTCGCGACACACGGCCGTGTCGAACACGCAACGTTTCGACTCTTGAAAAGTTTTACATTTTTTTCTCTCTCTCTCTCTTTCTCTGTCTTTCTTTCGTTTGTACATACGCGATATAGAAGCGTCCGTGAATGTAATACGTTCGTTCTTAAAACACTCATTTAAGACTGCCCCAGATAATACAGGAATATTCTATGAATATTCTTTATGAATATTTGTACATTTAATATTTGTACATTCTATGAATGTACTAATAATGTTGTTATATGTTCATAGTGTTGTTATATGTTCATAGTTATTATATGTTCACAGAATATTCAAATGCTACAGCTATAAATGTTCTGTGAGTGTTCACAGAATATTTACAAACTATAGATTAATCATTGATTTCATCTTTACAATTATAAAAAAACAATTCGATTATTTCATTCGTAGATACGTTTTATTACGTGTATGTCATAGGAAATTTATCTTATCAGTTCGTTTGTGTAAATGTGACCTTGAACTAATTGCTTCGCATAAAGATATACGCCGGTCTCGCGTAGTGCGTTGCGCTTCGCTTGCGCGTGCACTTGACGCGAGACACTGCCGTGTCTCTTGACATTCAGGACGTATTACATTTAATCTAGATATAGCATTGTAGATCATTTGCTTTTACATATTATTTCATGTTAAAATAATTTCTCGAACGTATTGCGAAATTTCTCACAAGACCAGACATAAGTCTAGCCGAAGTGAATACGACATGCTTGCTGCTGAAAGCATGATAAACGCGGACATCGTTATACCTACATGCTCGCTTATGATTAGCATAACCATTCCGTCCATATAGACGATGCAAACTGTTTCGATTAATATCAGATCAAGAACACTTGACTATTCTCGCTCTCTGCGCGTGCGAGACTTGCAGATAGAAACCGTAGGAATGTTATACACAACGTAACAGTCGGCTAATATTTTTCAATTAAAAAGCATGCTGTAACAGCGGAAGCATGCTGAATCACGCGGAAGAAATTTGATGGCTTGACGAGTGTATATTTAGGCTAACATGATATAAAGCATAATTAAAAAAAACCAAAATCGATGAGACGGTAAACTGGATGTGATCAATGCGACTCATAAGTTTTCTTCAAATGTGGAATCCTTGGAACGCAAATTTCTACAGGCCAAATTTACGTTTATCTGCTTCAAATATTTGATAGAATTATATAAGGAAAATATATGTAAGTGAATCATGTTTTTGATAAATTAAGATGCTAAAATTACATAGAAAGCAATGTGTATTCAAATAAATATTTAATCATTTACAGTAATGTAGCCAGAAAAAAGTTTCGGGGGGGCTGTACTTTTTATTTTTGACGAGCAAAAAAAAGGTCATTTAAAAAAATTTTCCTCACACTTAGCGTAACCCAGAAAATTAATTTCGAGGAGGGCTGCAGCCCCCTTAGCTTTTTCCCCTTGGCTACGCCACTGATCGTTTAGTATAATATTTAATCGTTACACATGGTCTACAATCATAGCCGATTATTTTTGTAATAATCGAATATGATTGGCTAATTCTTACGGTTTATGACACCGATTGTAGACTATGCTTTAAGAATAAGTTACGCGCGCGTGATATAAAACGAAAGCAATTGATAACTTTCTTATATGAGTTGAAATGTGAGAAATCGGAATTTTCGAAAGAAAATTATAAGTTCAAGTCATATGATACACACACTTTAATGAAATTTCAAATAAAATTTGAAATGAATATATTTCTATAAATTTTTATTGGGTGTTTTAAGCAAAACAACCAATATTTCGTCGATTTTGGTTCTCAGATTTTATTCCAAAACATCCTTCTTGAGAAAAATTTTACTATATAGAACTATAGATTTTTAGTAAAATTTGCCTCAAAAAGAACGTTTTGAAATGTAATTATAAATAATATGAATTATCAGAGGAACATCACTCATAACCGATTCTTATAAATATTAATGAATATAGAGTTTTCTTTGTATATACAATGATGCTATCAAAC